TAATAGACTATGTCATTTCACTTGTTTATTTTGGAGTTAAAAGCGCCTCGGCATGGATACCTCAGTTCTGCACTGCATTAAAAAGTTTTTTTTTTTTTTTTTTTTTTTAAATCGTTTTGTAAGCTCAGCTGTTCTTCCCCAAAGCTTTCTGAAATATTAACACTAGGAAAAGAACTCTGCATTTCCTCCTGCTTATACCACAGCATTAAAAGGCTGTTTTACGTACAATCTCTGCTCACAACTACCTTTAGGATAGAAAAGAAATCGTACAGAGGAGGTCTGTTAAGAACCAAATTGATGTTTATTCTCACAAAAGATATTTGTTATTCTAGTATTTCCTGGTAACTTTCGGTCTACAAAACCTATTGAAACAGAACTCATTGCTTCAATATTTCATGGTTCTTTGTAGAAACAGTACATTGACAATGGAAAATTAAAAGTAATTTATTGAGTTGCTTTTGCTATTGACTTGTACAGTAATAAATTAAGCAGGTATATTGTTTTACCCATAATATGGATATGAAAATTGAGGCTTACAGAGCTAGGCTCATTTTTCAGTCTCACAGACAATTTGTGATTTGACTCCCGGGGTTGGAACTTGATTTACTTGACCCGCCCTTCTCTCTCCACGCCAGTTTTTACTCCTGGAAGAGAATTGTCACTGTTTCTGTCCAAAGCCAATTTTTTATTTTTTATTTTTTTGACTATGCCAAAGTCTTTTGGGGGGTGGGGGGGAATTACTATATTTATCATTAACAATGTAATTACTTTTTGTGGCCTTTTACCAATTTCTTGCTAAACCTCCCTTTCCCTCCTTTACCACCTCTGGTGGCCTCAGTTCTGTTCTCTCCTTTTGAAAGTTCAACGAATTATTGTGATTGTTGTATCTCTCTTTCTTTTTTTGTATTTTTGTGTTGTTTGCTTGTTTTTTTAGCACTCCCTTACGAGTGAAGACGTGGTGTTTCTTTTTCTGTGCCTAGCTTATCTCACTTAACATAATTTTCTCTTTCATCTACATTGCCACAAATGTAGAATAACATTGGCAGAATAACATTCCTTTTATGGCAGAGTAGTATTCCATTGTGTGTATATATATATATATATATATATATATATATATACATACCACATTTTCCTTATCCAGTTGTTTGTCAACAGATACTTAGGTTGGTTCTGTATCTTGGCTATTGTAAATAGAGCTGTGATAAACATAGGCGTGCAGGTATCCTTTTGACCTGATGATTTCCATTCTTGGGGGTATATACCCAGCAGTGGGATTGCTGGATCGTATGGCAGTTTCATCTGTAGTTGTTTGAGAAATCTCCATGCCATTTTCCATAACAGCTGCACTAATTTACAGTTCCACCAACAGTGTAGGAGGGTTCCTTTTTCTCCCCATCCTCACCAGAATTTGTTAGCCTCTGTCTTTTTTTTTTTTTTTTTTCCTTTTTGTCTTTTTTTCGTGACCGGCAACGGATCACAACCCTCAGTGTCATGCCCGTACCGGACCGGGACCGGCACCGGCAACAGGATCGCAACCCTCGGTGTTGCACCCGCACCTCGCTCAGCCAGTGAGCGGCCGGTCTGTATGTGGGATCCGAGCCCTCGGCGGGAGCGCTGCCGCGCTCCCAAGAGGCGCACTGTAGCAGTGTGCCACCAGGCCGGCCCAAGCCTCTGTCTTTTTGTTAATGGCCAGTCTAACTGGTGTCAGATGATATATCAGTGTGGTTTTGACTTGCATTTCCCTGATGCTGAGTGATGTTTAGCATTTTTTCATGTGTCTGTTGGCAATTTATTTCTCTCCCTTTGAGAAATGCCTATTCAGCTCCTTTGCCATTTTTTAATTGCATTACTTGTTTTTTTACTGTTAAGTTATTTGATTTCCTTGTATATTCTGGAAACTAGATCTGTACCTCTAGCCATATATCAAAATCAACTCAAAATGGATTAAAGACATATATAAGACCTGAAACTATAAAACTACTAAAAGGAAATATAGGGAAAACACTTCATGAAGTAGGACTTGGCAAATACTTTATGAATAAGACCCCATAAGCACAGGCAACAAAAGAAAAAAATAAATGGGATTATATCAAACTAAAAACCTTCTTCACAGCAAAAGAAACAGTTAACAGAGCAAAAAGACAACCTACAGAATGGGAGAAAATACTCGCACACTATGCATCCGCCAAAGCCAATTCTTTACCTTCATTTGAAATTCCATCCTCCTTGCCTCTTTAGATACTTATTTTTAAAGCCATACTTATGTAGCATTTATTAATTGACTTTAAACACGATTTTAAGTAGTTAATTTTAAGTGTTTTGTATATACTGTGAGACAGTTTCTTTTCCTACTGACTGTGTGTTTTAGTTTCTATAACAATCCCCATTTCAGAGATGAAAAAACTGTGGCATAAAGAGATTAAATGTCTTTCTAGTAGTCACCCAGCTAGAAATGTATGGATCCAGTATTTGAATCCAGGAATTGGTGTTCCAAACAAATTGTATGATGCTGTCTTTCTTTAATTCATCAATCGTGTCTCTCTTTTCAGGATCTCTCTTCCTTGTTCTTGATCTAATGTTAGTTTTACTCTAGGTATTCCCATCTACTATCAAAACCTTTAACAAACCCCTTATATGTGCCTGAAAATCCATGGATATTTTCCATGTAATTAATAATTTTTGTTTCTCGTAAGAAACAAATGGATATTTTCTATTCTCACAAAATGTGGAGACCAGATGTAATGTTGAAAATTTACATAAGAATGCATTTGTATTCAGAAATTATGTTTGATTGCAGTTTGATATTTTATTTAGTGTCTCAAATCATCTAAAAGACTTATAATTGTATATTGACATTTAAAATGCTCTAGATAGGGCCGGCCCGGTGGCGCACTGGATGGTGCGCCGCTTGGGAAGCGCGGTGGCGCTCCCGTCCGAGGGTTTGGATCCCATATGCAGACCGGTTCCCGCTCACTGGCTGAGCGAGGCACGGGAGCAACACCGAGGCTTGCGATCCCATTGCCGGTCCCCGGTCCGGTACGGGGGCAACACTGAGGGTTGCGATCCGTTGCCGGACACGGAAAAAAAGACAAAAAAAGACAAAAAATAAATAAATAAATAAAATGCTCTAGATGATGCAGAGTTGTACTTCACAGACTCACTTATAATGGCAGAGGAGTGGCAGAGCATACCTCCCTCTTTTTTTTTTTTTTTTTTTTTTTTTTTTTTTTTTTTTTT